CTGCATCCAGGGGGCCAGTGTTTGATGCCTACAGCTAATGAAGGTGTTTTCTCCCAGACTTCCATATAAAACCATGGCACAAGGTTCACCCAGCAGAAGGGGCACTATAATCAGGCACAAAAGGGGAGCCTGGGAGATTTTATCAGCACACGTATGTGGGGGAAGACACACAAGGAATTCAACATCCTACAGGAAAAGGCAGGGGGGTGATTATCTGATTCCTTACCCAGTCATGCTGGGTTCATGGTCAGAATGTTCCTTTGACCTGGGAGGCTCTGGGTGGACATCATGGTCAGGAGGTTCTTGTCCCTTCTCAGCATGGTTGTTTGAGTCTGAAAACCTAAGATAAAGACCTGTGCTGAAGGCAGCGGACAAAATCCTGCTGGGGTGGGTAGACATCCATCCCCAAGGCAGGAGCCATCAGGCAGGGAGCAGGAGAGACATTGTTTGGCCAGAGCTATTCCAAACTGCCTTGGTCCCAGATGTGATGGGAATCCTGCGCACAAAGCCCGCTCTAGCTTGCAGGGTCACAGCTAAAGGCCTTTCATCAGAGATTGTCGCAGAAGGAAAATGTCAGGCGCAGGAGAAAGCGCTCGTGTCAGGATTCCTTGGACTGACAGATGCTTCTAAGACCCCAGGACACACTCACGCATGACTTTGGAGCGTTCATAAATACTTGCTGAGATCCCTGGGCAGCAGAAGCTATTGCCTGCCACTGCAGTACTAAGGGAGCCACGGTGATGCCAAAGGACCTATGTCACATGCTGTCAGTGCACATCTCTTGGACTTCCCACACTGTGAGAGCATCTCATCCAAGTGGCTTTTCCCATCAGCACGGGTGGGATTGCCTGCTGGGATGTGCCGTTATAAACTCCCCACTCCTGGGTGCAAAGCAGAGGAGCTGCTCTGTGGTCACAGCTACATTGGGGCAGAATGAGACATGATGAATTCTGAAGTGAGCAGATACTGGGGGTGAGCCCTACCGACCGCTTACCCTTCCTGGAGCAGCTCTGGTTTATAGTCATCTGAGGCTCGTGTGCTCTCGTGCTCCCTTTCTCTAGGGGCGTTCCCCTCTTTGAAATCTTGGGAAGACCTGGCAAAGGAAAAGAAATCCCACTTGTAGCTGTCAAGCACAAACACCTGAAGGCTCAGCTCAACGCACACTGAGAAGAAAGTAAGTCACAAGGCTTCGGTGGAGGATATTCCAAGGGCTAAGCTGTAACCAGCACAACGAAGCACAAAGCTTAACTGCTTGGAATTCAATGGATGGGTCAAACAGCAACATTTTCACATGCTGAAATTAGCTCTTTAAAATACCAGGGGCTACAGGGAAGAAATTGGGAAACGGCAAATGCATTTGCTGTGTGGTTAGTCTTCAGTGAACACAGTAGGAAACGTGTTACTTCACTGGATGGTGGTGAGAGGAGCAGTTTAGAGCTGATTGGACAAATGGCCCTTATGCTGCTGTTCTCGTGCTTGATATTTCCTGAGCAATCAGTAATGCCAAGGCTTTCAGCGATGAGAAAACATATTAGCAACCACGGGGTTAGCACCCCAGGTCCTTACATCACTTCATTCCAGTACGGCTTGCCGTACGCTGGGACCTCCGGACTCGTGTATCTGCTCTCTTGGGTGCTGCTTCTCTCCTTGTAGCCCAGGACAGATCTGAAAATCAAAGAAAGGCCCATTACATCTTTAAAAACTGGCACCTGAATCCTTGCACTGGTGAATACTACCTGCTCAGCAGGCAAGGCTTGTGTCCATCTATGCCATTCACTGCCCCACAGCAGGATTTTTCTTTAGGGACCACGTTTAGGCTACAGCTGCGTTTCGATGTGTTTCAGCTGCCTTTCCGCTCCCTCGCTGCCACTCCAGCATCACCACAGCATTTCACTGGATCACCAGCGAGTGAGAAGGTGGTGACTGAACCCCACCATGCACACAAGCACCAAGAGGAGGAAAAAAAAAGCTGGGCTGCTTGGATCATATCAAAGCAGATGGAGGAGGGATACAATGCAAGTGTCGGTTTATTTTGCAAGCTGTGCTTTAAACCTCAGCACAGCTGCCTTCATCCTTGGGACAAAAGCCACGAAAAGACGACTCTTTCTGTGCCTGCCTGTTCAGATTTCCCTTAATCCTCAGTATCGCTCATATGCCCACTAAATTTACCCAACTTTTACCTTTTAAAGGAATATTCTGTGTCCTCTAGGTGCACAGGGGCTCTCTCAGTAGGAGGAGAAGGGACACCAGACTGCAAGCTAGACCTGTCAAAAAAAGGCAAGAATCTACAGCTCGACAGCTTGCTGAAGGCTTCAAGGGGAACCTGTATGAAATAACAACACTGCACTTTATATGAGACCAGAAAACAGAAGGTGATTTTCTCAGAGAACTGGTCTTCCTTCAGAAAAAAAACAAACAAACGTTTTCACTGTCTCTCATCAAGAAGAACAGAGGCTGTTAGTGGAACTAATGCAGCTACTTGGCCTCAACTCACGCACGTCTTGGCTGGATACGAGACTTCTCTGGCCTCACAAGATCGTGCACCTGGGACAAGGCACAATATCAATAACTTTGGGGAAAACATTCCTACATTACTAGCAGCAGCTCTAGGTCTTGAGATTTACACCATACTACTGGGAGCCCTGTGATCCTCCTCGTCCCAGCTAGGAGGTTTGAAGACACCATTTGCTACCTCAGGCCCTTCGGTAAGCCATGCATGGAGTCAAGTCCCAAAATAATGGGCTAAAGCGAGTGAAGAAAGCAGCTTCAGGGAGATCAGTGTGTTTACTGTTAACAGCAGCAATTCTTTCCTGACTCTGCACCCTGACATTGTCAGGGGAGCAGGCACGCTCTAAAAAACATGTGGAATAGAGACATTTTTGAGATCAATGCTAAAAGCAACGATAAAGCTGCTGTATCTGCTCCCAGGCTGCTTCTGCAGAAAGACGTTGACGTGTAACAGAAGGAATCCTGTTCCCACTGTTCAGCCACCTAGGATTTTCTGGCTCCCCTTGCTTTGTTGCCCAATTTGGACTCTGCTTCCAGCTCTACTCTGGACGAGTCACATATTCCCCCCCACCACATCTGCCCGCTGTGAGCACCAGTGCCAGGCTCTGACCTCGCAGGTTCAGACTCTGCATCATCCCAGTAGCGAGAGGGCTCGTACTGGTGGTGCAGCTTGTCTGTAGCATCTGCGAGCCCGTCCCTGCCATCAGGGTTGGACCTGGGAAGAGAGAGAGATTCATGGGTCACAAAGAAGCTCAGCAAGTTGGAGAACAGAGCAAGAAGCAAAACCAGCAAACATGAAATTTTCCTGTCTCAAACGTAACATCTTTTCCTCCTTCCTGCTTGGCTCAGCAAATGTCCTGCAGCAGACCTGAAGGGCAGAGCCACAAACCCAACCAGCTCACACCACTGCATGGAAAGAAGCTGAAAGATCTCAGTCCATTTGGAGCTGGTCAATCAGGCCCACCCCCTGCTTTGCCAGTGCTGCTCCCACAACACATTTGTTAGGGCAGTACTAGGTCAGGAGAAGATCCCTCTTGCTCTAAAATGGAGAGGGGAAGTGAGCTTCACACCGTTAATTGGTTTAACACTTACTTAGGTGGGTAAAATCCATTGTTGGCTTCTGTGTGTTCAGGATAACTGAAATGGAGAGACACTAACTTTAGAGAACATCTTCGGTCTGGGTAACGCTCTACAATTATTTTCTTATGCATTTAATAAACGAGAGAGGAAGAAATCCCTAAAACCTCCCGGAGATGTTCCTCAGTATATTTCTACAGGTAAAATGGCAAGAAACTTTGGGGAAACTCAGTGTGTATGAAGTACAAAGGAGCATCTAGTAACTCTGAACACCATCAACACGTGACAGATGCCAGTGGTATGGAATCGGCTGGAAATTCAAGCCAAGACTCTTCCAGAAACAGTGGGATGTCCTCCAGCCCCCAGCTGCAACACCAGCACCTCCATCTGCACACACGGAGGGAAGGAACGGCCCCGACCCCGCTGGCTTGTCGCGGGGAGCTGACCCAAAAGGCGAGCAGAGCAGTGATGGTGGATCTCATTTGGGCATTTGGAGACAACCACCAGCTCAGCGACACTGTCCTGCCTGCCACTGCGGGGTTTTTAACCTCTCTCCACAGTACCTTAGAGCCAGGACACAACTTTGCCTCGTCACTGAAAATTTTGGGTTGCCAGAGAGTTTACAGGACGTGCAATTTCCCTTTGTGCTTGGGTTTTGGGGGCTGGTTTGGTTTTTGGGGTTTTTTAGGGGGTCTCTTGTTGCAAAAGTAAATAGGTAGGTGGAGGCTGGGGGCCTAGAGATACATGGAGTGTGAACCTCTCCATACCGTAATTAAAAAACAAAAATTACATTTCAGAATTGGCTTATGTTTGGGAGTAAACCCGGAAAATGCAGAAATGACCCACAAAAGTGATTATTGTTTTGTATGATAGAAACTAAAGAAAAAACTGGAACAAAATATCACAGGTTTACTGAAGAAGGCAGCGTTTTGTTTCTTTCCCCCTTCTTAAATAAAATTTTAGAGGAGCCGCCACAGTTCTGCAAAGCACAGACTGAACTGTGTTTTTTCTGCCAGTAAATATCCATTCAGAGATTCCGGCGAGCCCAAGAGCAGCAGTTCCTGATCCACACAATGCTCAAATCGACCCAGGAATGTCACACTAGCTCTACCTTCTGCTCGTGGAAGCCACGGTTGCTCTGGGGGCCGGTTCATCCCATGGGAACCGCTCAGGCTTCTTCAGAGATTCGTCACTAGGAAAAGGAAAACGCCAGTGAGGTATGACCTGACAGCATTTATGTCATATCATCCCAGAACAGTCTACTGTTGGTCAGAAGGAGCACAAAACGGGGCCAACTCAACACATCAGGACAGGAACCTTCTGAGTGCAGTGGCCCTGCCTGCTCTTCAGGGGTTATGGAGATGTGCTGCTCCCTGCAGCGAGGTTCTGCTCACCCCTTTGCTCAGGTGAGCCTAAGTACCCTACAACAGCTGTTCTCTCTCTGCTCATGGGCCAGAAAGGTCTTCTACAGGTCCACCAGCTGGACCCCACACCCGTCCTTCACTCCCCCAGACCTGTCGAGCTGTGTTGCCTGTCTCCTTCCTTCCCTGCCAATTACTCTCTCCAGTTTTAGGTGGCTTAAGTAATGAGGCATCCTCTCGTTTCTCCGGGAGACTGACTCACAATTAGGAGCAGCTATGTGACCCGAGTGACCCCCAGCACAACGAGCACATTGTAATCAGGCTGCCCCTGCAATGACATACCAGGATATATTCACGGGCTTCAGTTGAATGACCACAACAATAGTCCAGCCTCTTCCTTTTCTCAAGCACTCTAGACTTTGCTTCAGCCTGAGATATTGGTTTGGGAACATTTCTGAGCTTTATCTTCACTAATAGAGGTGGAGAGTGAGTTGCAATTAACTGTAGATGCTACAGAAACTCATTTGGTGAACCCAAGCCTTCTACAGCTGCTGAAGCACAACAGAGCAGAAGGTGAGGCCACGTGTACAACTCCACCTACCTCAGCCTAGGCACAGCCAAAAATTCAGAGTGGTAACACTGAGAACAAAAAGATACCTGCTAAAATGGGGTACGTTTTAAAAATCTGAAATGCTCCTGTGCACAGTCCAAAGACGGCTGGACAGAAGGGTACAAGGAGGGCCAGAAGCTTCCCTGCCCTCAACTGCAAGTTCCCTGTCTCACCTGTGCAGCTACACAGTGTCAGAGCTCTGCCCCTTCATGTGTCCAGCACCTGTACCCATGCCTTTAGGTTCCCAATCAGCTCCTTCTTTCTTAGGTTTTCCTCCACATAACAGAGCTTTTTACGCTTTCCCATTGTTCAGCCACCCCTTCCGACTTCCTACAGGGTGCAGAGGACCAGAACCACTGCTAGCAGGAGCCACCAGCAACTGAGGTTCAACACATCCCTTGCAGGTGGAAGAAGCTCCCCAGGGAACGGCAGTGGGAGGGCAACTGGAGTGGTAAAAAAATAAAATAAAATAAAATGCATGAAGTAGATTCTTTAGGGACCGAGCCAGAGAGGAGAATCCTTGAGGGAGGTGAAGGAAGAGCAGAGAAAACCCACGAGTTGCAGCCTAGCCAGCAGACGAAGCTCTTGGAGCACAGCCCAGGACCATAACCGGAGAGATGCCATCTGTTGGAGACCACTAGCAGGGATGTGCTACTTCTGAGCAAGAAGCAGCCTCATGCCTCATGTTCAGCAGCACAGACCAGCCTCTCTCAGCTTCTTACCCGTCCCCACGCTGTGACACAGTCTCAGATGAGGGTTTCCCATTAGGGACCTGTCTCTTGTCACCATTTCTGCAAGGAAAACAGCAAGAATGATTAGGTGGGGAGGCGAGGGGACACACCACGAGCACGGGCAGGGTGTGCTACGTGCAGTGCAAGGGCTGCAGGAAAATGAAAGCCTGGTCAGTTCAGGCGATGGAAAAGTCTGCAGTTTTGGGGTTTATATTGTCAGCAGAAAGAACCGAGTAATGTTCGAGCTGTGGGAGGCCCAGAGCTTCCATCTGGGTGTATTTCCTCCCAGATTGCTAATGCTTTTGTAAAGTGCTGCTTTCTTGGATTCCCTGTGCTGTAGTATTTATTGTTCCGTGACTGCGCTGCGTCCAGAACAATCGTGTGTATCTGGGAAAATACCCCCAAGCAGAGCCAAACCCTCCGGCCCAGATGCCCCTTGCTGTCCTCAGTGGAGCTGTAGGATGATGCAGGGACAACAGACCTACCTGATTTCAGTAGAAGTGGAGATTTTCTCTGAAGTTTCGCTTGAGGATGTGGTGGTTTGGCTCTCGCTGCCTGTTTCAGTGCTGCAAGAGAAGGCAAAGAAAAAAGCTGTCATTCCTGAACAAACCAGCTCCCCACGGCAGCTGGCCAAAATTTTCCTGCATTGAAGTGTTGCTTTCTGTGAATAAATAAAATAGAAAACAAACATGACTGTTTTCGACACGCTCACTTACAAAGTTGTCTTATCAGAGCAATTTTTAAATTAAAAAAAAAAGATATCACCAGGAATATCTACCTGTGCTGTGGAAAACCACTTCAGCACTTTTTATACTATAGCCATGAACTTAATCAAACAGACAAAGCTGGAAGCAACTGAAGATCATTCCACTACACATATTTGGCAAGAAAGAGTTCAGATGTTTGGTATTTTTCCCTTCAGGTTTCAAGCCCTTCTGTCAGGATGTTGTCAGATCCTTGCAGGACATAACATGGATTTTGGACGTAAAATCTTTTCAGAACAGCTGCCTGCATCCAAGAAAAGTCTCCCGTGCACAAGACTGACACATTTGCTTCATTTCACCTCCCAGATGATGCCCACAAAAGTCTCTGACCTACAGCTACAAATGGGCTGATACAACCACAAAAAACATCCAAGACCTCCTGGACATGCCATAAAACTCACCTGGAGGGAGATGCTGCTGTTGTCTTCAGCTCATTCCACGAAGACTCAGTGGTGGTTCTTCTTAGCCCATTAGTACTGATAAAAAAAAAATAACAATCACCATGTAACAAAGCATGAGAAACAGATTTTTTTTAGGTGCCTTCTCCTGTGAAGGGACACATCCTGCGTTCTGGCCCATGGCTCTTGTGTCTGCTTCCTGGGCAGCGAGGCCAAGCCCTGCTGTGCAAGGGCTGCCACGCAGCTGTTCCTAGGCACTGCTGCACAAATGGGACCAGTATCTGCCTTTCTGCTGAAACACTCGGTCTTTAGAAACCGTTTTTTCCCATTTGACACAGCTGGAGCCATCTCTATCCCCCCCGTTTCGAGTTTGCACCGAAAAACAGTTTCCTCAAACGTACAGATTAAAGCTCGAGCGCGTTCACAAAATCCATTTCACCGTGGAGCATGTGGAAGGGAGGGTAACTGCTTCCCCACCCTGCCTCAAACCTGCACCACGACAGCACAAAACTGCCACCAAAACTCATGAGGCAGCTCCTCCATCCCAAATGTACAGCATTTCGGGCTGAAAGGCCTCATTTGTTGGACTTCCTGCTGGGCTCACTCCGGACCAGAGTGGCAGAGAAGCTAATAATGCTGCTGCCTGGCATCGAGCCACCCCTCGGAGCAGGAATAGGGAGCTGAATCCCAAATTAAATGAATCTGCTTGAAAACAGAGGATTCCCCCTCCTAGGGCAAACATTTCCATTTCAGCCAAACCTTTCTGCACGCTGGTCCCACTCAGCCCCACACCACGTGCCAGCTCTTCCCAACCAGCGTGGGCTACAGGAGGGTGCCAGGGCTGCCCCGTTACACCAGACACAGCCTCTCCCCAGGTCTCACGGGCCACGGCAGGAACGCTCCAGCCCATGTGCCATGGCTCCGTACAGCTCCGTGTACACCTGGGCTTCACAGCAGCCTGGAAAGGGGCTGGGGGCTTGAAACGAGGCTCACATTTCCCATCAAAGCAAAGATCAATTTAAAGATTCATAGATTCATAGATTTCTAGGTTGGAAAAGACCTTAGAGATCATCGAGTCCAACCATCCCTAATCCCCATTAAACCATATCCTCAAGTAGATCATCCACCCTATTCTTAAGCACATCCAGGGATGGGGACTCAATGATAATGAACCCCTCAAACGTCTCTGGTTGCACCTCTCTGTTGCCATCACAGTAGAATAATTACATCTAAAGTCTAACAAAAAGCAGAGAGGTGGCTCAGGGGACTGGAAATAATGAGATGTTATTTCATGTCTAGGTGATGGGGTCAGTTCGCACAGCCGAGTTTGCTACGAAAAGAAAATCATCACTACCCGATGTAGGCATTCTTCCCTCTGAGGGTGGTGAGGCACTGGCACAGGTTGCCCAGAGAAGCTGTGGCTGCCCCATCCCTGGAAGTGTTCAAGGCCAGGTTGGATGAGGCTTTGAGCAACCTGGTGTAGTGGAGGGTGTCCCTGCCCATGGCAGGGGGCTTGGAACTGGATGGTCTTTGAGGTCCCTTCCAACTCAAACCGTTCTGTGATTCCACGATGGCTGCTCTGCCACCTCCTGTGAGTTGTCTTTCCAGAAGTGCCACCAGGCTCATTCCTGTGGCATGTGAGCACCTTGTGAAGACAGGGCTGATTGGGCTGCGGAGCAGGATCAGGAGAGAGGCTCAGTGGCAGGTTTACACCGTACAACTCACACTAGAGTTGGCCTGTAGTTAAATGCAGTTTGTCACCTCCTGGGGCTGTCAGCTGGGTACTTAATGCTCTGGCCCCCTGGCCCCATGCCTGCCCGTTTGTTTCACCAAGTTAGCTGATGTCATTTTTCATTTTGGATCTTTCCTTTTTTGCAGGAAAGGGGCAATCAGGATTTTCTGAGAAGCCTCTTTTGAAAAGCCTCCATCTCTAGTTGTGTTCAGATAGCTGCTACCTTGCAGACAAGTGCAGTTACCTGCAAAGATGGTAGATCAGCATGCCCTAAAATCAAAGGCAGTCAACACACTGCTCCAGGATGAAGTAAATACCTGTTGTCATCTGGTGAAAACCTGCATGAACCAGACACAGTCGGACTCCTCCTCTGCTGGCCTTCCTCCTCTTCTATCTCGATTCTTTGAAAAGGCAGAGAGAGACACAAACATCACACCATTTCCTACTCCCCACTGCTAGCTAATCCAGGCAGTTTATTCTTGTTTTCCCTTAAGCTATGTTTTCCCTTTGTTTCCCCTAGAGGCAGATTTTTCCTGCTCCTCATGCTCCCTGTGCCCTGCTACTGGTGAGCATCTCAACTGGCTGAATGCAGTGAGACCTTCAGCCCAAATCAGTGGCATTTTGCTGTCAGAGTTGCTTCACAAATAGCATCAGCTGAATGCTCAAATTCCAGACAGCGCCCTAGCCATCATTTCCCTGTCACACCAACTGCTTTAGAAATTAAATGCCTCAAGTCTGAAGAGTATTCACCAGCTTAGCGAATTGGAACCAGCCTTCCCTGGAAGAAGAAAGGCAGTAAACAAGTGTCTCCTTGTTTCAGGTTGCCCATAACCCAAAGCATCATCAGTACTGTATTCTCAGTGATTACAAAACTGTAAGCTCTCAAAAGCCAGAGTGATTCAACCCAGAGCATCCTTTTTTAAGGGAAGTGTCTCTCCTCTGCTTTGAAACACCTCAAGATCTCCCATCCCAGCGTTTAAGAGCAGGTACAGCAATCAGACACGCAATCCCAGCAGGACTTGCAGAGGTTCAATGACCTACCTCTTGGCGAACAAGGGTGGAAATTCTTGTGTTGGGCTGCTGTAAAGGAAGCAGAAAGGCAACAGTGAGAAGTGCAAGGCATTAAGGGGTCACGTAACACCATTTGGGCAGAGCTGACAGTGACTGGGTGTGTTAAACCTGTGCAAATTACAGAGCAGAGGAAATGAAGAGTGGCTAGTTACAACATGTGAGGTGAAGAACCTTCCCCAAAGGGTCTTTTTAATTTTATGCCTTCCTGATAGTTGTTTTTCTTCCTGCACACAAACCTGCCTCCCTCCATACCACACGACCCTCAGTGCCCCAGAAGAACTAGCAGCCAGTGCCAGCACCCTTCCCGTCCTTGCAGATCCTGCCCAAGCATTTCTCTCACCCTGGGCACAGCCGAGTGCTGCTGGCACATCCCTCCCTGCCTCCTCCTGCACCAGCGACCTCCTGGTGCCTCATTGTGTCACCCTGAGTTATGTCAAGAGGAAAAGGATTCATAGTGAAACTGAGCTGCAAAAAAGTCACTATCATGGCTCCTGGGAGATCAGAGACCTTGGAAATCTGCTTTTTTTTTTTCCCCTCCCAGAAAAAGAGATGGACAACAGAGCGTTGAACACCAGTAGCTCCCACACATCCTTCACATTCCTGTTGCAGATCCACACGTTACTGTTAGGTTCTTTCTCCCCACAGAACTATTTTGAAGCTGCAACTAAGATCAGGATCTTGTAAATCTCACTATTGTTCGAACACAATGGAAAAGCAAACTGTTGCGAAACGCTGATCCATGCAAGATGCAGTTTCTATGTGTTCTGCTTTCCCCCTTACACGCAACAAAACTGGAGAGAGCAGTATTAAGAACTGAGGGCCCAGGGAATTAGGAACTATCATGGTTTTTCTCTTCTTGAAATTCCATCCCTCTCAGTAAAGAGGGCTTCCCAAGACTCCTGGAGGATTTCCCCAGTTCTGCAGAAACCTGCAGATACCCTTGGCGCTTCTAGAGGGATGGCAGCTACGTCTTCTCCACTCATGGGAAAGGTACCCATCACCTTCAGAGGGTCTCAGGTCAGGCCACCATCCCTGTGAGACCACCTTCAACAGCCTCTTCCCTGTCTCCTGCCCCACACTTGCATGCTGAAGACTCACCCATTGCTTTTCTTGGCCGCCGAGAGGACGTAGGCACGTTCTCTGCTGGCAGTGCGTCTCAGGACACTGTTGGCTGCCTCTGTCCTGAAAGGGAGGGAAGGGGTCACCTTCTGCTCCTGCTGCTGGTGGCCATAGCATTTTCAATGGATGTAAAGCGTCAGGCAAATAAAAATAAACAAACCAAAACAACTACCTCTTCCAGGAGGGCAGAGGGAGTTCTCTTTTTCGAGACCTGGACTCTTGCAACATTGCATACCGCGGGACAAAAAAACGGGATACAGGCTTTGTGGCTGACATGCTGCACGGATTGCACGTGTCTGTACAGACATCAGTGCCACCAGATGTACCGAGGGAGAAGTGCACATCTCTGAAAGCACCTTTACTGGTTCGTCCCCAGTGGGCAAACCACCCAGTTTTCATTTGTAAAAGTCTTGTATCTGAGGAAAAGTATCTTCAGAAACTCGGCTGAAAGCAACAAGGATGCTGCCTGCATCAGATGCAGATCTGCCACACGGCCAAAACACGTTCCACTCCTGGTATGAGAATGAGAGATCCGTCTGGATCCGGACTTGGATGCGAGTCCGCGAGCGGTCCGGCCGCAGAGGCGCAGCCGCAGGCTGCGGGAGGTGGGCACCCCCGTTACTGCCAGGCTGGTTGCACCTCTCTATCTTTTCACATAGACACTACGCAGCTGATGGATTCCACAACCCACTTCCAGCTGCCAAATTAATTGGGGTATGCTGTCAGGGTGAATCATGTCAGGCTTTTAATTATATTTTGTCGGGAGCGCGGTCGCCTGTGGACATAGATGCGCTCTGTGTAGGAATATCAGCTGATTATTATTTTATTGCAGTCAGCTCTAATGGCTTAGCTGTGATCACCATCGAACTGGCCCTCCCAGTAACCAGCAGTTAAAATGAAGTAAGTCCACTTGTCACTGCCCCTGCCAGAAGAAGGTGGTTACCTGGAGGGCATACCTCTTTTTATGTTCATCTGGAGTAAACGGCACATCCTCCTCGTCCAAGTCCACTGATTTTTGCCTGACGTTATACGGAGCTCTGAAGCAGAAAGGGCAGGAGAGAGCCAGGGTAAGGGAGCTGCAAACCCCAAGGTAAATCCAAGGGCAGGGCATGTGGAAATGGGTTTAGACCCCAGGAGCATTGCACACAAGTGTGGAGGACACTTGTATTTTTCACGCACAATGGGGTTGGCAGGATTTTGTTTTCTCTGTGTAGGGGTTAAGCCTAGAGCCTGGTTCATGATAAACACTCAGCTTTCAGCTTAGAGCCACAGTCTGACATGAAAAGCTGTGCAGGAAAAAGCTGTTCTGCCACAAGGCCCCTCCTTTCTCCTGGTGCAGAAAGGCCAGCAATGCTGCAAACCAAGTCCCCAGGCTGCGTCCTCCTAAATTTCTGCCTTAATTACTACCAGGTGATACAATTCACTCCGTACAAAGGCCATTACCAGGTCAAGAAATGCCTTATGGCCCACGCAGCCCTGGAGGTGCCACCAGGACCTGCTTCAATTTCTAGCGACAGCTCTGCAGCGCTCAGCTGAAGCAGCCGTGCCTGGCCAGGCACCCACGTGCTGGTGGCTTCATCCCTGAGGCTCAGGTGCTGCTGAGCCCGTGCACGGACAGAACGTGCTGCTCCCTTTGCACACTCACAGTTTCTTGTAATCCTCGGTGGTCATCCTGTAGCCAGAGGAAGAACGGCACTGGCCGTGTCCCTTCGCGGCAGCGCTGCAGATGGCACAAATCACATCTGTTAACACGACCCTCCCGAGTTCTCACCCTTTGCCACCCTCACCACGCTCCACACGATGGGGGAAACAGGGTGACCCCAAAGATCCACTCTCTGAATTCTCTCAAAAAGCATTTGCCTTCTTTTCACGGCTTTGGACTGGGATTTGAGGTCTACTTTGCTTCCCCAGGGCCACCGTGAGTTGGCAGAGCTGGTATGGGGATATCCCTCTGTGGGACAGTGCTACTCTGTCCCAGGATCAGCCAGTGAGACTGAAGACGACACCTTGTTGCATCACCCTTCTCCCCAGATGAATCAAAACAGGGTGAAAGATGGGGTTTCAAAAGGTTTCCCTTGAGGTGCAACAACACACTGGCTTAGATCAGAGCCACGCTTAGGTCTTACTTACTAGAACGGAATGTAAGTGCTTCTCACAAGACAGGTTTCAAAAAACCCCAAAACCAACCAGTCCACATGAAAAACATCAAAACGGAGCCTTACAGCTTTGCAAGGATTCCGTGTGATTTGTCCCCCACTCAAAACTATTTGCTAAATTTAACCCAAACCTGTGAGTGCTTTCACAGCCAACTGCCATCCCATGCTCTGGTGAGGAAAATACAGAGTTTGGTGCCTTGGCTTTTTCCCATGTCTGCTGAGTGGAGCTGTTAAACGAACAGCCACGTCTTCCAGCATCTAGCAGGGAGTTAGTGGAGCTCAGTGGAAGCCCACAAGCACTGCCCAAAGTAAGAGTGACTAGAAATATGTACAACATTTAAAAGCTCATTTTCATGAAGAGGAGGAAGACATACACATACGTTTTTCGTGCTTCATTAGGAGATGAAGAATTTGGTGTGGAAGAGGTCTTATCGATGGTTCTTGTGAACACCCCTCTGGGGAGAAAAGAAACATGTTAAATCTTTTGCTGGACAGGGTTTGGAACCAAAACTCAGAGACTTACAGACACTTTTTGGCCTAACAGCATCTGTACGTCCTGTTGGGAGGAAGGTGCTGGCTCAGAACACCAAGAATTAGAAGGCCTTTCCTTGGGAGAGTCATCCTGAGAAAAGCTCCATCTTCCCACTCCCTGGCCTTAGACAACATGGTAAAGTCAGCTTGCATACAGGCTTGGGGTATGGTATCATGGGGCTTGCCAACCTGTTCAGGACTACAGTGGCATCAGAGTCTCCATGGGCAACAGCCCAACAGTCAGAGGAAGCTGAAGCAACAAGCTTCGTCGCTACACCAGGATGGTGGAACATTGTCATAGCACGATAATCCTTCCATGTGTGATCGTCACATCATACAGAGATCAGATTTTCTGTTAACATCACCATCAAACTACCTGTTAAACGAAACTCTACAGGACTATCTCTTCCCCAAGGTACTCCCTTGAGCATTGAAATGTTCCTAACTAACAGGAGAACCCAAGAGATAGTAACATTTCTCATGCTTGTTGCTCCTGATCGAGTTCTCCTTCCCCTATAGCCCAAATATATGCCACTCTGTACCAACCTGATGAGATATCCAGATTGAGGCTTGGAGGCAGAAGACCTGTGTGAAGAACAGACGTTGGTGAATTAAGAAACACATGGAAAAACAACAGCAGCAGCACCAGTGTTAAAGGAAAACGTCCAGGTGGCTGTCAAGCCAAAAATCCAGCTCAGTGGGCCTTGGGTGATACCTCAGCTGCTGCACCAAAATCCCTTGGAGGGATTCACTAAAAATGAAGGAGCAGACATTTGTGAAGAACCAGTGGAAGCATGCACCGACCCCACGAGATAACACCGGAAGCAGCAGGATGGGGCCTTGGGTGATACCTCAGCTGCTGCACCAAAACTAACCTTGGAGGGATTCACTAAAAATGAAGGAACAGACGTTTGTGAAGAACCAGTGGAAGCATGCACTGACCCCATGAGATAACACTGGAAGCAGCAGGATGGGTCCCCAAAATTACCTGTCATTCTGAGGAGCAATAGGTGTTGAGGCTGAGGATCCCCCACCGGCCCGTCCAGACCTGAGGGAAGAGAAAACACAACGACATAATGAACTTCTGCCCTGGCTGGGCTGCCTTGCTGAACATGGCAGTGATGTTGTCAGAGGGAGTTGCTAAGAGGAGACCAGCTTGGGCTTGGTTTTGTTTCGAATTAAAGGGAAACTGGTGCAGGTCGTGTTGGCTTATGGTTTTATTGGCCTGACTGGTTTATCACTTAAACTCCCTCTCATCAAGGTCTGCCCCCTCATTTGTCACTCTGGACATGGTGAAACACAATCTGGCTTAAAAAAGCCTGGGAGATCTCCTGAGACTTCAGATCTACCTGTGTTGCTGGATTCCCAGCTCCCAGGAAAGGCCGTTCCTCAGAGCTTCTCCCCAACCTGCATTTATCAAAATTAAACAGGAGCACCGCTCCCCTTTGGCGGTGTCATTCCCTGGCATCACGGGGACCCCAAAACATCCCAGCACCACATGTGCTGCTTCTGCAGGCCAGAGAACCTGCAGAACCTCATGGGAGGCTGATGAGGGCAAGGGAAGGGAGAAGAGGAGCATTCCTCAGGGACCACACTTACAGCGGGCTGCTCTTCTTCTCATCCTCGGAGTCCGAGTTGTGGTGGTGGATCCAGCTCTTATCTCCTTTCAGGGTGGTGCGAACCTTCATCTGCCTAATGATCCTCCTGCGGTCTTCATCGGTGGATGGAATGACACCTCCTAGGAGAGGCAGAGGAAGGAGAGGGGAGAAGGGTTGCTGAGGAAGGGCAAGGATTCACAGCATCAGCAGGTGGGTGGATCCCAGAGAGGAGGGAGCACCAGTCTCCTTTCAGTCGGAAATTCAAACACCGAATGAGCCTTTTGCCACATCTGATGAGAGAGGGAAACGAGCTGTCATCCAAACTTCAGGATCAATTTACTCTGGTGCATCACCTCCTCTACAGAGAGTTTCTTCTCTCCTTTCAGAGGACTGCTCAACACTAATGAGTCATTTTCTCTCAGGAAGACCAAAGACATTCAGGGGGTGGTCTAATGACTTATTTACAAAGCCATGAGAGTTTCCTCTGGCGATTCCCATCACATCAGCTCCAGCAGAAGGCTGTTTTGGTTTGTGGGAGAGGATGACACGTCTGGAGCATGAAGCTGAGCCAAGAGTTGGGGGTTAGAGGTAAGCCATAAAATCCAAACACCCAGCTGTCAGCTTTCTCTGGTGGCCTGTCAGGGTTGGAGGAGACACATCCTTTGGTTCCTCGTTTCCATGTTTCCATCACAAAGTTCAGTTCTAAAAACGCACTCTCAGACCAATACCTCCCTAAAGGGGTGGGCAGACAGAGACACGGGGAAGCCATCCCAGTCAGCTGCTGCACTGGCTGCCAACTGCTGCTGCGTTTTCAGTAGACATTTCAAAGACAGAGAATTTTGAGGAGGGTCTTGAAAAGCGAGTAATATGGTAGTTTATTAGTCTCTTGCTCATCTCAAACCTCAGCCAGCCTATAAGCTCTCCAGCTCTCTGCACCTTCATGGATACTGAAATGATAGCCAAATGCACGTAATTTTGGAAGTGCAGGTTGGAGCAGGTCCCAGACAATGAAGCGGTGTCTGCTGCCCTCGGACACAGCGCACTGGGGGAGTTGGGCAGAGACGTTACAGCAAATGACAACTGAGCAAAGAAGGCAAAGGAAAGCCACGGCAGCAGGCAGATCCCAGACAGCTCGGGATGGGGAAAGGAATTACCTTTACTGACACCCAGGGACATCATGGTTCTCAGAAGCACCTTCTCCTTCAGTTACTGTTTGAAGACAACAAACCCCTGGAAGAAATGAAAAAGGGGAAAAGCAGATTAGTAGTTCTGATATAAGCAACTTTGAAGCTATGTGGAAGGGAGAGCATCACAGCCACAGAACTGGGAGGATGGGGAGACGGTGCCATATATACTGGAGCTGTGATTTCTCCCCACGCCGTGTACGTTCAGCATCAAGGACAGGAAAAATCAAATGGGCGTGTTCTCCACACCAGTACGTCTTCAGATTGGCCACGACAGATGTGTCCTTCCAGGTCTGGGAAGAAAGTGGTGAAGGAGACCTTGGCAAAAGTGCCCAGAGCCACTCAGGTGGGACAGACCTTCTGGAGTCTGTAGAACTCAGAGCAGCTGAGGCTGCTTGGTGAACCTTGGTATTTTTCTGCAGTGGGAACATAACACAAAGGCTTTTGGCAAATTTCAGTTGGCAGAGATATCTGCTGTTCCCCCAAGACACAGCAGAGAGAACGTCCGACTGCCTGTCTCAGAAGCAAGAGTTAGTTACTGCTTCTGATGGCAGTTGGGTGTCTCCTTCAAATGACCACAGGAAAGCAGCAAGGAAAAACTCCTGGATGTAGAACCTCGGAGATGCTCTGAGATCAGGAATTTGCAGAGCACTGATTGTTCAAGTGCTGTAGCTGAATCAAAATCAACCACAAGCTAAAGTCAGAAAAAATAAATTGTTGTTTGATGCTCTGCCAAGGCAATTATTATTTTTTTAATTTGTAAACAAACAAACAAAAGAAAAAAAACTCAAAATGGACACACTGTTTTGAGATCAGTAGAGCCCAGGTTAATCCAGCATCTGATTACCTGTTTATCAGAAATATTTTTTGTAAACAAACAAACAAAAGAAAAAAAACTCGAAATGGACACACTGAGATCAGTAGAGCCCAGGTTAATCCAGCACCTGATTACCTGTTTATCAGAAATATTTCTTTTCTTTCTTTACTAAGGTTTTTTGTGTAAGCTGTGAGATGAGCCCTTGTTTCAGAGGAGAAAACCGAGGGCAGCTTCCAGCTTTTACAACACTCCGTTCTTTCTTTGCCAAAACTCTCTGCTGAAACTGGATTCTTCAGTGACTATGCTATTTGTGAATAAAAACGCCCAGCCCTGTTCGGGAGTCTGCGAATCTAAAATTAGGTTGTTATTATCTGCTGGTGGGCTT